CCTGTAAACAGGTTTGGCATGCAAAACTGTGGGGGGCATAAGTGGTGGTGAGGTTAGCGGGGGTCAAGCAGGAGTGGAAGGAATCAATATGTGATGACTCAGAGGGAGGAGAGGACCGTCTTACCTGAGGACAGTGAGACCTTCCTCTAATCTACTCAGGGAGAAAATTGCAGAGCTCAATTTAAGACCTAACCCATGAAATTAACACCTCCAGCTCTCTTTTTTGCTACCAAGAGTGATTTCGCAGAATGGGCAGCCTCTTTTAAACTTTTCAAAGTGAGAGAGGCACCCCGACTTCATTTCAGGATTCACCTTATATGCCTCCTATTCCAGAGGGTGTTGAATGTGGCAGGAATGTGGTGGGAGGAGCATTGAGGTGAAATAGGCCCCAAAGTATTGTTCAAACAAAAAAAACGTTGAGCAAGACATCACCTAAGAACAGGAGTACAGGTGCTGTACAATGTTTAATGTAAACTGGTTGGAATAATTTAGTTGTTGTTTTGAGAAGAGACCTAAAGGTCCTACTTTGTGACCGCAGCAGCTATAACACGTTAAAATAAATAATAAAGCTAAAGCTACAGATCACAGTGTGATATGTCAACCACCAATCACCTGGCAATCGAGACAGAAGACAATGCACTTCTGGAACAACACTGTTCCTGTAAATCCTGGTAGGTCTTTATTCACAGTTACAATCATTAAAAAGCTAAATGTGGAAACATTCAGTATATATTCAGTAGCTAGCTAGTTAATGTTAACTCCACAGTTTTTTACGTAGAAAATGTAATGTTTAAGAAACGTATCTCTCCTTCCAACCTCTCTGGGAAACTAGTATCACTATTACACAGCGTTGAACTAGGACTAGCTCCAAATCCACAAAGAGTGTCTATTGAGCAGAGCCCTGGTCAGAGCTGGCCAAAGCTGTGCTGTGATTAGCCAGTATCCATTCGAGGGCGGGAGTTAGCGAAGGGTCGATTGGCGGTCATTGTTGCAGTATTTTTATTCATTGTAAATGTAACTGCCTTCATTAGTTGAGTAAAAAGCAAATAATAGTTCAACAAAATATTACTTATGTCAGAAGTATGTGCATTACTTCTTTAAAAGCACAATATGTGGTCCACATGTGAGCAACAAGGTAAGCTGAATGCGTAGCATTAAGGCTTAAGTCCTTACCGAAGCACCAGCGGTTCCAGTCAGGCCCAGGGCCCTTTTCTGCCTGTCATCCTCCCTCTCCCCCTGCCTTTCCCGTCTGTCCCTCGTTCCGTCATGCATGAGGAGTGTGATTGGTTAGGATTAGGGTAAACTATCAGGGTAACCTAACCAGAGTAGGACAAGTCATGCCTTTGCCGTAGAAGGAAAGAAATACTGATCGAATGGGGTCCGATGTCATTCTGCATAATAATTAGCCTAGTGCTTCAGTTTGTAGCAGGGAGATTTTGTATCTTCTGTGCATTTGGCCTTGGGAACAATGGTCTCTTTTCAGGATAATGCGCTGTCGGACAAACGGGCTTTTGCTTTTAGGGACTATTTTTTTTACTATGGGGGTTTCAGAATGAATGGCCGTCTAAATAATGGCATGGCACCTACCTTCCAGGAGTCTGCTGGTTGCATGACAAGTGGTCCTAGCTAAGAAATATCGAGCACACAATCTCCCGTAAAATAGCTAATTGTTGTTTTTACTCAAGTCTATGAGAAAATGACTCTACTTCTCTCTTGATTTAGTACCTCAGTAAACATTGTAAACATGAGTTTATGGTCTCAATCTCTAGTTTCAAGTCTTCTTCAATACAGCATGATGTTCATTTAGTAAATTATTAACCAAGAATGGACAGACTTTTAAAAGTTATGGACAGTTCAAAAACAGTATGTCTCATATGTTCAGAGATCGTGGCGATTATTAAAAGTGGTAATGTGAAGTGCCGCTACGAGACAAAGCATAACTCTTTTGAGCAAACGTACCCACTCACATCTGAAATAAAGGCACAGAAAATAAACCTAAGAGCCCAAAATGATCAGAATCCTAACATAAAATGTTTAACTGTCCAACAATGATGTTAACAGAGAGAATAGAGCTGAAACAAGTGGTTTGATAACCACAGATAAAGTCCCTACACACACGTCTCTTATTAGAAGATAAGAAGAATATAATATCCTGGATATTTGGGTGACATCACTTAAAACCTAAATTAACTGAATTTAAAGCCGCAGGGCAAAGGCAATTCAGTTAAATTATAAATGTCATATAGTTATTAATATGTATTATTAGAGTATGTATTATTTATAATTCATCCAGTTCAATTTGAAAACTGACAATAAAAATAATTGAGATATTATTCAATATACATTGTTTTTATTTGAAATTACAGTCAGTTGACTACATCTATGGCACTAAATCATAGTTAGACATTACTGTGATGTTCCGGACCTTTGCATGAGGAAATTCTCTCTAACTGGACCTCGTTGAGTTCTAATTGAATACCTCTGGTCTAGCGGTTCTCCTGCTGTTGATCACACATTTAACGTTACTGCTCATCAGCCCTAAATATCTTGTTGAGCTCTGAAAATACTGTAGCACAGTTAGTGGCCTGCCTGTGCATTGTGTTTACTGCCACTGCAGAGAAATGAATCTTGTTAATGTACATCGTAGTTTTTCCAGCAGTTGTTTCCTGGCTTCTTGACATGGCTCCATGACCAAGTCCTGTTGATCTTCTCATCCGACTCTCAGCAAGCAGGTGAGACATAATTGAATTACTTGTGAGTAACTAATAAAGATACTCTCTACTGAAGAAAGCTTTTCACCAATGAGATACTTTACATTTATTGTTATGATGATCAACTGGTACTGGTTAAATACTCAAGTGACAGTAGTGTACAGTTTGTGGCCACTCTTTGCACCCTTAATAACACTGTTACATGTTCTTTGTTTTGCTGATTATTCTGCTCTGGAGTATGTTAGCTGTGCAGCATCAGTTACCATGGAGATCTGCAGTTGTTTTAAAGGCTACAGGACAACCATATGATCACTTAGCAAGCATTGACATCATTTACCTGCACAAAACATTCTGCTTTTTGACCTTTTTCCAAAAGAAACAATATTCCTACTAAGCTGTTTACATGGCTAATGAAAATTAATAATCCACTAATCATGTTTACATGCAGCCGTGCATACTCTGATTAACGTATAATGTCCTACGGCAACATCCTTTAAATAACTATAATGTCCCTCCTGTTCCAACTACAGTCATGTTGCACCTGCGGTGTACCCTCTTTGTTACCGTTCTGCAAGTTTTTTTTATAGCTAAGCAGAGTGGTTTGTGTACAACACATAGGGCTGGCCGGGAACACGCAAGAGGTCAGTAACCTGTAATTCACATGATCAAAACAATGCAGATTGGACATTTAGTTACCTATGACTATTCCCAAGAATCATTAACTGATTATGAAGATGGATTTGCCAGTCAGGACCTCCTGACAGTCCTGCTGCAGATATTTTTTACCTCATGCAAAACAGCTCCCACTGTTTGCAAAACTCCATTAAAAACAACTTGAAGAGACAAATTGCTGCATCGATTACTGACATGCATCATTTTAAATGAGAGCACAATGGTAATTTTTCCTACCACGACTTTGCTACGCAGCTAATTACAGTGTTTAATGGAACTATTTTAACTTTTGACTTGAAAAGCACCACATGGATCCAGAAAGTAAGTAGGTAATATAATCTAATTGTGAATTCATACATTCAATACTTTACTGAGAAAGTGAGTTCTGTGGTGTCGATCAGGAAACATGGCAACCTGGGCGACTGTGTCCCAGTGGTCGAGCAGGGTCGTCCTTCAATCGGAGGATCGGTGGTTCGATCCCCGGCTCTGCAGGTTGTTCCTGCGGTGTATGAATGGGTATGAATCAGTGTGTGAATGGGTGAATGATGACATGTAGAGTTAAATGAACTGTACAAGTGCAGTCCATTTACCATTTATGATCATGATGGAAGGGAGGATAAAGAAGAAAAGAGAAATCCAGTTGGCTGGAATGAAAATGACTGGGAGCAAGGACAGACCAGGGGTTCTGTAGGACAAACATGGTAAAAAAAGCGGTTTAATCATTGTTGGATGTATGGCTCATACACAACTGAAGAAGGCTTTGGAAAAACCTGAGCGAGATGGTTCCCAATTGTCCTGTTTTCCACTAAATAGAAGAGCTTCCATTAAGCATAGAAAGCAAACTGTCCATAGAGAAAGAAATAGTTGAAAGTCATGAAATAGTATACAGTATATAATAATAATATTAATACATTTTATTTATATAGCGCTTTAAAAGTGCGCACTCAAAAACACTTTACATGTTAAAAACAGAAACAATAGCAGCATTTATAATAAGAACAAAATCTACGACATAACAGTAAGAAAAAAAAAAATAAAATAAACATGAAAAGAAAAAGAAAACATACATGACTGACTTATGGCTGCACGGTGGTGTAGTGGCTAGCACTATCACCTCACAGCAAGAGGGGCCCGGGTTCGATCCCCGATCCTGGGTGGTCCTTCTGTGTGGAGTTTGCATGTTCTCCCTGTTGCAGCGTGGGTTCCCTCCAGCTTCCTCCCACAGTCCAAAGACATGCAGCTCAGGTTATTTGGAGACTCGAAATTGCCCGTAGGTGTGAATGTGAGCATGTCTGTGTCTGTCTCTATATGTGCCCTGCGATGAACTGGCGACCTGTCCAGGGTGTACCCTGCCTTCGCCCAATGTCAGCTGGGATCGGCTCCAGTGCCCCGCGACCCTGAACAGGATAAGCGGTTTGGATAATGAATGAATGAATGACTGACTTTAGAGGTTAAAAGCAGATTTGAATAGGTGAGTTTTAAGTGCAGTTTTGAAAGTGGCGAGTGTTGGGGCAGGGAGTTCCAGAGGGAGGGGGCAGCAACGGAGAAGGCCCTGTCCCCCCAGGTCCGATGCTTGGACAGAGTAGGGGGGGTAAGGAGGTTGGCGTCGGCAGATCTGAGGTTGCGGTTGGTAGTGTGATGGTACAGGAGGTCCGAAAGGTATGAAGTGGCAAGGTTGTGGAGGGCTTTGTAAGTGATGAGGAGGATCTTGAACTGGATTCTTTGCTGTATGGGGAGCCAGTGGAGGTTTTGAAGGACTGGGGTGATGTGGTCTCTGGTGCGGGAGTGGGAGAGCAGACGGGCAGCTGAGTTCTGGATGTATTGTAGTTTATTGATGATTTTGGTGGGTGAGCAGTACAGGATGCTGTTGCAGTAGTCCAGTCGAGAGGTGATGAAGGCATGGATGAGTGTTTCTGCGGCTGCGGAGGAGAGGGAGGGACGGAGATGGGCGATGTTTTTGAGATGAAAGAAGGCGGTTTTTGTGATGTGATTGACGTGGCGTTTATATGAGAGAGTTTGATCGAAAATGATCCCAAGGTTACGGACATGTGTGGAGGCAGGAACAGTGATGCCATCGATGCAGAGGGAGAAGTTGTGGTGTGAATTGTTTAATGATTTGGGGCCGATGATGAGGACTTCAGATTTGTCGGTGTTGAGTTTGAGGAAGTTTGCTTGCATCCAGGTTTTTATATCTGTGAGGCAGTTGGTGATGGTGGAGTGGATGGTGGGGGTGATGGATTTGGTGGAGATGTAGAGCTGGGTGTCGTCAGCATAGCAGTGGTACTGGAGACCATGGTGGCGTATGATGTCACCAAGGGGGAGCAGGTAGAGGATGAAGAGGAGGGGACCGAGTACTGAACCTTGGGGGACACCTTGAGAGACTGGGGCTGTGTCAGACTTGAATTTGTTGATGCTGATGAACTGTGCACGGTCGGAGAGGTATGATTTAAACCAGGAGAGGGCTGTGCCAGTGATTCGAGTCGTGAAAGGAGGATGGAGTGGTTGATGGTGTCGAAGGCTGCGCTGAGGTCGAGCAGTATCAGGATGTTGAGGGAGTGTTCATCAGAGGAGAGGAGGTCGTTGGTGACTTTGATGAGGGCAGTTTCTGTGCTGTGATGAGATCTGAATCCGGATTGAAATGGTTCATACAGTTGGTTTGAGTCCAGGTGAGTTTTCAGTTGATGGGCAACAGTGCGTTCCAGTATTTTAGACAGAAAAGGGAGATTGGAGATGGGTCTGTAATTGTTGTGAATGTCGGGGTCAAGGCCAGGTTTTTTGAGGATGGGTGTGACTGAGGCGAGTTTGAGGGCGGGAGGGACGGAGCCAGTAGACAGGGAGGAGTTGATGACAGAGAGGAGGTGCGGGCAGAGGGCCGGGAGACAGGCCATAACTAAAGTGGAAGGGATAGGGTCGAGGTCACAGGTCGGAGTCTTCATGCCAGAGAGTGATTTATTGAGATCCGAGGGGGAGATGAGAGAGAATCGGACCGGAGTGACCGGTCAGTTAGTGGAGGATTTGCAGATACAGGGTTGGACAAAGCGGGGCTGGAAGTGGCCAGTTGGTTGTAGATGGTGTCGATTTTAGCTTTGTAGAACGTCAGAAAGGAGTTGCATTTCTCTGCTGTGGAGGAGTGGGAGAGATTGTCCATAGGTTTGAGGAGTTTGTTTATTGTGGAGAAGAGGACCTTGGGGTTGGTGGAACCAGAGCGGATGATGCCAGAGTAGTAGGTGGAGCGAGCAGAGTTTAGAGCCAGTTTGTATTGCTGTATGTGTTCCTTGTACGCCAGGGTGTGAACTGTGAGGCCGGTTTTTTTTGGAGAGTCGCTCTAGTCTGCGTTTCTGGGATTTCATGAGGCGGAGTTCAGGGGTGAACCAGGGAGCAGTGTGGGTGAATGAGACAGTTCTGGTTTTGAGAGGGGCAAGCTGATCAAGGCAGGAGGATAGTGTGTTATTGTAGAGGTTGACCAGGTCTGAGGGGGAGGGGCTAAGGGAGGGGGAGAGTGTGGATAATTTTTCAGTGAGACAGGCTGACAGGGATGAGGGGCAGACAGACTTGATATTTCGGAGAGTGATGGTGCACGTGAGTTTGGGTTCTGGGATTGGGATGTCGATCTCCATGATGTTGGCTAGATGGCCGGAGATGGTGAGGTCATAGCCGGAGAGGTGGTTGATGGTGATTTCAGTGGAGCAGACCAGGTCCAGGATGTGCCCGCGGTTGTGGGTGGGGAAGTCGATGTGTTGAGTGAAGTTGAAGCATTTAAGCAGGTCCAGAAATCCGGTGGCAGTTTTACAGTCTGAGGAGTCGATGTGGATGTTGAAATCACCAAGCAACATGATGTAAGGTGAGACTGAGCAGAGCTGGGTGAGGAATTCTGATAGGTCAGAGAGGAAGGCAGGGTTGGGGGGGCGGTAGATAATTGCAATGACCAGGGGTTTAGGGCCAGAGAGTTTGAATGTGAGCTGTTCAAATGAGGGTGGACTGTCGATGTTAGTCAGTCTGGTCTTTATAAGTTTGGCGGTGAAGAGCGGCAATTCCTCCACCGCGCCATCAGGGCATGGTTTATCCAGGTAATGATATCCAGTTGGGGTGGTTTGATTGAGTGTGTAGTAATCCAGGTGTTTTTGCCAAGTTTCAGTGAGACAGAGGATATCAAGGTTGTTGTCAGTGATGAATTCATTGATGATTGGGCCTTTGTTGCTTAGTGACCGAGTGTTGAACAGAGCAAGCTTCATGGAGTGTTTTGTGGTTGGTTGTGAGGTTTTGGGGAGGGTTCTGAGGTTGGCTGCATTCACGTGCTGTTTGTTATGATGACGTAATGAGGGAGTGGTGGTACGCCAATGCCGAGTCCACAGAGACGGGATGGAATTGACTGAAGTGGGGTTGTAGATGATGAACTTGTGCTGGGAGCCGATATGAACATCACTGGGAGGGATGTAGCTGAGGTTGTTTTTGTTTATGGCTTTGTGAATGCGGTGTGAACGGGGCAGCCTCTCTGTCGCAATAGTCTGAATGGGGAGAGCTGCAGCTGAAGGGGTTGATGACAGGGAAGGCCAGGAGGGGGAGCAGTCACGGGAAACTGTGCTCAGAGGTGGCAGCGTAGAAGAAGAAGAGGCGTGTGTGTGGAAAGTAAATAGTCAGTCATGTGGACAAGAGTGTACAGCATGCTGTAAATTAGCTGCTAGCAGGCGGCTACCCAGCTTGTTAAAATGAATACCATCATTCTTAAAAGAGGAAGAGCAGTCCCAAAACAGGTTAAAATTGTCAATGAAGCTCATGTTGTTGGTCCTGCAGGTGACCTGGAGCCAAGTGTGGAGGCTGAGGACTCTGCTGAACCGCTGTGATCCACGGCAGAGTGTTGGAGTTGGACCACTGATAAAAGCAGATAGTCCACAGCTGTTTAAAAAGTGTAGAAGATTTTTAAAATCAATCTTGGTCAACTCAGACTGGTGGAGGGCTGTATCGTTGATTCCCACATGAACGATAATTCGCCGAATGGTAGACGGGAGGGCGTGCAGCAGAGTAGGCAGTTTCAGCAGGATGTCGTGAGCCGTTGCTCCGGGGAAACAGTGTGTGGTCGCGAAACGGGTATTCCTGATTATTGAGTCCCCGACTATCAGTGTCATCGGGGCGAAGAGGGGACGAGGCGACAACACTGCGCGTGTAATACGCGTGGGTGGAGGCGAGGATTTAACCAGTGGTGGCGGAGTGGACGAGCAAGGACTGAGAGAACGGGGGGGGCCGAAGTCCTGGGGCGAGAGAAGGGCTCAGGAATGACTGGCGTAGGGATGTCGGGGGAGCCGGGGCTGTGGGTCCCTCGAGGCAGCAGGTGGGATGGTATAGGAAGCTGGGAGTCCCTAGCCAGAGGAGGGAAGTCGTGGAGGGCAAGGGTGTCATATTTATTCTTCAGCTGGACATCGAAGTTATGGGGTGTAGGAGAGGGATGTCTCCCTATCCGGCTGCTGCGAGCACAGACCAGGGACCAGGGCTCATGATGTGATGGAGTGGAGCTGACCAGGGCTTAGCTCCGAGCCGTAGCCAAGAAGCCTCAGGAGCTGTGACCGGAGGAGGGGCAGCAGGACTGGAAGCGATGGAATCATGCACACGGTCGCTGGCTGTGTTGGTTTGTGCTGGACCGAAGATGATGGTGTCCATGAGGTTCTCGGCATCCTGGATCCTGTAGAGCGTGGATATTCTTCCTTCCAGCTCTGTGATTTTATCAACCAGGCGGGCGCAGCTGACAGTCAGATGGAGAGGTGAGTGGAGCCATAGCAGATCTGGTGGACAATTGTGCTCCAGCCCATAGTCCATAGCCTTGTTCAGGTATTAGCAAAGGTGGAAGCTGATTCACAGACGGTTCTGTTTTCAGTTTGACGTGTGGAGACACTCTATATCTGTGGTCTTCGTAGCGTTAGCTAGCTTCAGAGCCCAGGGCTAACAAACGAGCCAGTAGTAGCCCAGCAGGCTAAGCGGTCTGGGGAACGCAAAAACCTAAGAGGTCTAGTACGTGTTGGCTGACATCGTACTTCTAGTTCAATTCACACAGATATACTGTATCTGTATATACAGTATAATCCTTCTGAGCAGGCATTCTAAGCACGGGAGCAGCAAAGGGGGGGGGGGGGGCAGCTGGTGACGCAAACAGGAAGTCCTCTGTAGCATAGGCTGTCTCATTTCGGAGACCACTCGGTCCAGCCTTCGTGGTCCTCAAAGGACATGGCCGATGTGGACCGCGGGGGCTGGGTCCACCAAAGGATGCAGCCGCTGGATTGGGACATAATAATAATACATTTTATTTATAGAGCGCTTTTCATAATACTCAAAGACACTTTACATAAAAAAAAAGCTATACACTAAAATTAAATGAACAAATAACGGTAAAAACAGTAAGAGATGCATTGAGTTATTTTTCAAACACTTTGCTCTACTTCCTGTTGGCACTTGCAGTCCCAATCACACAGTCGTTTACCTTGCTTGCAAACCTCAAAGAGTTCAGCGTTTCTCCAAAGCTGTCTGGCTCGGGGGCAATGTTTACAAACATCAGGGTTTTGCTGCTTCCTCCCAAGCACCCCTGCAGCAGGTAGATCAGCTTGGAGTTCCTGTACGGAACATAGCTCTCCTTCTTGGCCAGCGCGGTGATGACTATGCCGAGGTTGGACAGGGAGCCGTTGATGGCGGTCATCTCCTTAAAGCGCTCTCATGGGCATTGTTTACAGTGGAAGCAGATACCGGGATCCAAGTCGGACCCACCAATAGAAACTCCTGGCTCATTCAGCAGCGTATGCCCCGCCCACTACATCCAAACTCAACTCGTAGGTTTTCATTTTGAAAGCGTAGGGTTTTTCTTTTTGAAAGCAAAGTTTTTCTTTTTGAAAGCGTAGGTTTTTGATTTGCAGCCAAAAATTCTAGTTTCATAAGTACAACTAACAAATAATTTATTCTCAGTTTATATATTTTCACTTACAAATTTGATTTTTGATTGCAGTGTGAGAAATTTGCTCTCACATTTTTTTGTTTGCGTAATAAAGACACAAATATACCTTCATATTAGCATAAATAATACACCCAGATGAGTTTGTATTTAAAATTAATTGAAGGCTTTTATAAGGACACTTACAGGTTCTGTTTGTTTTCACTACGAGCAACCACAACGCAATTGACTAAGAATCACCAGCTAACACGGTCACTCGCTAAACCGAAACACAGGTGGCGTCTATGGCTGCGAACTATTAAACGTGTTGACTACCACTGAACTGTTTAAAGATGGTTTATACACCCATTGTAAAACTCAATAAAGTCTAAACTCCTGAGTCTATGAACATATGATATCTGTACATGAACACAAATGACGTAGTTGCATCTAGTGATTATGATGCTTGTTGTAACGGATTGTATATGGACCCAAATGCAGCACACAAGATTCCAGGAACCATTGGCTTTTATTATAAACTTAGCAGGTACAGAATGATGCACAAAGTCCTTGATAGAGCAACAGATAGAGCCTCAGAATTAATCCAAATAAGGAACAGAAGGCTGGTGGGTTTACCGGGAGTCAGGCGAGACAGGTAGATCAGGGGCAGGCAGGGTCGATAACAGGGAATCAGTCCATGATAGAGCGCTGGAGAGTCTGGCATTGAAAAGCGAAGAACAATCTGGCAATGTGTGTCTGAGAGTCTATATCGTGGCTTGATTAGTGATCAGAGTGAACAGGTGAAGGGAGTTAATGCTACATCCATACTACTCCGTTTCTATTTGGAAGCAGATTTGTCAAATAGAAACGATCTCCGTCCACACGGCCGTTTCAGCATCATTCTCGAATTGATCTGCATCCACACGGCAACCTTCGAAGACGGGCAGCACGTGACCATTTTCGTACACTGGGCATGCGCGTGACGGTGTAAACAGGAAGTAGATTGGTTGCCGAGTTTAAAAAAAATACGAGAGTAATAAAGTAGTCTTTAATAATGAAAGGTTGTGTTTCATTATTAAATTAAAAGTTACAAAAAAAGTTACAAAAAAAAAATAATTAAGTTAGACTTGATAATAAAAATATCCACATAGTCGAAGTTACGAGATAGAAAGTCATAACTATGATAGAAAGTCATAATTCTGAGATAGAAAGTCATGATTCTGAGATAGAAAATCAAAATTATGAGATAGAAAGTCAAAATTATGAGATACTTAAACACACAGTCATAGAAGCAGCTCTTTGGCTGGTTACCGTACACTTGAAATGGAAATGTATTGTGAGTACATTGAAGACTACTTTAAACGTGGCATTAAAACACATGAAATACTTCACATGGGATTGTGCAAACGTACCCTTGAAAGGATTTTAAGCATTGAACAAAGTTATTGTAATAACTTGTGTTTGATATTTGTCTTTGCTATTTTCTTTAAAAGTTTGATCTTTGATAGAGTAATGTGGGTTTCTTAACCCTACATTAAAAGGATTTAAGTTATAACAGAAATGTGCTTAAATATATTTTTACATTTATATAACTGCATGTACAATATTTTTACACTTGAATAAACAATAATCAAATGCAGACACAGTTATTTACCAATATGTGAGGAGAAGTTACATTTACAACCGGCCCTTTGTGGGCGACCATAATGCTGATGTGGCCCGGAGTGAAAATGAGTTTGAGACCCCTGCTCTAAAGACAGTGGAGATGGTTGTGGATTTCAGGAAGAATGCAGCCCCACCAGCCCCTATCACCCTGTGTGACTCCCCCGTCGACGCGGTGGAGTCCTTCCGCTTCCTGGGCTCCATCATAACCCAGGACCTCAAGTGGGAGCTTATCATCAGCAGAAGGCTCAGCAAAGGATGTACTTCCTGAGGCAGCTGAAGAAATTCAACCTGCCAAAGACAATGATGGTGCACTTCTACACTGCCATCATTGAGTCCATCCTCCGCTCCTCCATCACAGTCTGGTATGCTGCAGCCATCATTCGCTGCAGCGCATCATTCGCTCTGCCGAGAGGGTGATTGGCTGCAATCTGCCGTCCCTCCAGGACTTGTTCACTTCAAGAACCCTGAAGCGAGCAAGAAGGATTGTAGCCGACCCCTCTCACCCTGGACAAAAACAGTTTGTGCCCCTTCCATCTGGTAGGAGGCTGAGGTCCATCAGGACCAAGACCTCACGACACATGAACAGTTTCTTCCAGTCGGCAGTCGGGCTCATTAACAGAGCCCGGGACCCCCACTGACTCTGTCATCCCCAGGACAAATTCCTACCGGTCACTCCCCTGCACATCCCTTCTATTACACTCGACACTTTTACACTACACTTACATCTCACTTGTTTATAGTCCTGTTATCTGTTCGTTTGTGCACTTTATTTTATATTTCACTTTATTTTATATTTTTCTGTAAATTTTAATATGTTTCTACTTTGCACTGTTGATTGTTGTTGATTGTTGTTAAATGTTATGCACCTCCCGTCATGTCAAATTCCGGTTCCAAACAGGGTGTCAGGCTTGACGTTGCGAGTACCGGGCCGATAACAGAGGGAAAAGTTGAATCGTGTAAAGAACAGGGACCATTTGGCTTGCCGAGAGTTCAGTCTTTTGGCAGACTTGGATGTACTTGAGGTTCTTGTGATCAGTCCATACCAAAAAGGGCAGACTGGTCCCCTCAAGTCAGTGGCGCCACTCTTCAAGGGCCAGCTTAACAGCTAGCAGCTCTCGTTACCAATGTACTAGTTCCTTTCGCTGGTGAGAGCCGCCTAGAAAAGAAGGTGCAGGGGTGGAGCTTCTAGTCGTTGGCAGCCCACTGGGATAGGACGGCTCCCACCCCAACATCGGAGGCATCCGCCTCCACAACAAACTGTCTCTCAGGGTCAGGGACTTGGAGGATAGGGGCAGAAGTAAACCGGGCCTTAAGGTTCTGGAAGGCCTCCTCAGCCAAGGGGGACCACTGGAACAGCACTTTGGATGAGGTAAGGGCAGTGAGTGGGGTTAATAGTGAATGAAGATGGAACACAGCTCAAATTGAAAAGTTTCAGGTTCGCCTGGAAAAAAAAAGCACTTGTATTGAAAATATTTATTTGAAATAATGCAGTTCCAAGCCTAAAAATACGCTACAGTCATAGCACAACATGTTTACAGTGTCCACAAACACATTTTACTTTGATTGAGTGAAGCAGGCCAGCATAATAGAGGTCTGAGTACGGACAGTCAAGCCAAATTCTCATTTTTGGAACCAGCTGTTGCGCTGCTCTATTCTAATTTTATCTACTATATAACTATATATTCACTTGTTTTATCACTAAGAGTGTTCAATACATCCTAATAAAGCAGTTTGGCATCATTTTGAGCCATTTTGAGCTCTCATATCTCTCCTCCATGGAATTTTCTCCTCTCTGTCTGTGTCTCTGTAACCCTGTGTAAGGCCTGTGATTGGCGTATTTCATCATGTGACACCTTGTTCAATGCGGAAGAGACTCACGAAAGCAGTAGGCGGGTTCTTGAGTAGATTGACAGACTTTTAGCCACTAAAAATCTCGATCTGTGCGGCACAACCCCCACGCGTAAAATCATTGGCCCAGCAGGGAAATGCTGACCATTTCATCATAGAACCTCACAGAACCTCAATTTTCTTACAGACAGAGAGTGCAGGGGACAGACTATACCGCTGACACGGATTACAATCATTTTCGAGTGTTTTTCACCACGAAAATCACCTAAAGGTACAATGCGTTTCAATTTTTTTTGCTGGGGAGCGAATTGTTGTTCGTTGGCTTTATGTATTATACCATCACAATTATTAAAATAGACCTTGTAGTTAGAGATCTGCACTCTCTTTAGCATGGGTATTCAATTTTCGAGCAGATGCCTAAAAATAGGGCTAGGGTTTAAGAGCTGCGGGGAGCCACCATCTTCACCAAGCTAGACCTGTGCCACGCCTATCACTTGATCCGGATCCGGGAGGGTGACGAGTGGAAGACGGCTGTCAACACCCCCACTGGACATTACGAGTACCTGGTACTCTGTAGACCAACACCAGTAAACACAAAACACAAGGTTTGCATATGTGTAATATAATTGGTGATTGTTACAACCTGGCTCAAAGGCTGCAACATAAAGGGAGACAAGACAAGTGTAAAAGTAATAAATACACATTTAATTAAAGAACACAAACTAAACTAAACTATAAAAATAAATAAGCAGCCGTGTCAGCCAAAGAAGAGGAGCAGCCAGTTCCCTGTTCAGGTGCGTAGTCTTTATATCTGACACTTCCAGCAGGCTCAGGTGGTCTCATGAACAGCTTGAAAGACAGAAACAAATAGCAACCAGGACGCAGACCCGTAGCGGAAGGGAGGGGTCGTCACAATTGTGATATAACTGAAAATGTACAGTGTGTGCAGAAGGCACCATTTCAATCCGGTTTCCGCTCACAGCACAGCACTGAAACAGCCCTCCTCAAAGTCACCAACGACCTCCTCTCCTCAGACGCTGGTCACCTCAACATTCTCATCCTCCTCGACCTCACTGCAGCTTTTGACACCATCAACCACAACATCCTTCTCTCCCGCCTCAAATCCTCCCTCAACATCAACGGAACTGCTCTCTCCTGGATTAAATCATATCTTACAGTTCATCAGCATCAACAACTCCACTCCTCCACTGCTCCTCTGTCTCAAGGCGTCCCCCAGGGTTCGGTGCTTGGTCCTCTTC